TACCACAAATAACATTTGATATATACTTTTTCACTCCAGTCAAGTAAGGCTTAAAGCATGACAAGTGTCTCTCTATTATAGCTAGGTTACATATACATCAAGTTGAGCCTCAGACCCCACCAACAGTCATTTGGCACATACCTTTCTAAAGAAAGGATTCCTAACAGCAATTCCATAGCAACCTCTTTCTACTCACAATATGTAACTGATGGGATGCAGAGAAAAGTAGTAGATCTGCATTAATTTGACATATATAAAGCATAAACTTTCCCATTGACTAAGTGATAAAGCCTCAAATATTAATATAGACAATGAAAGAAGAAAAAACTAGTGCATGCAGACATCATATCAGAATAAAACTACTTGAGAATGCTGTCTCTCTGTGAATCTAACCTTTCTTGAGGCTGATCTGAGTCAAACTCAAAGGAGAAAAAAAATCATAACAAATATTAAAAATGTTTTTTTACAGGAGTTCTTCAGGATTGCCTGATGAAGAACCTGAATAGCTTGTAAACCACTGAAAAGTAGATGAGGAGGCTCACAAATTTTGGAATCTATCTGAAGATGATTCTGTGATACTGCGTATCATTTTTTGCGGCAGCAAAACATAGCAAAAGGAAGCAGGCAAGGTGAGAAACATCCAAAAACAATTGGATTCCCTGTCAGCTGACACTTCACTAACAAAGCAAAAGACTATCTTGTGTCTGTTAAGTGCTACTGCTGCGCAGGCACATCTGTGATGTTCCCCTCCAACCCACACCAGGAAATGGCTCGTGAGGCCTGTGGAAGGTGAAGAATTATCATAACATAAAAACAAGGACAGTAAGACTGCAAAGAAAAGCGTGGGCTTTCATTAGAAGCATTTCTGAAACCTTGGACTTACTTTGAAGAAAGACGAGGAGGTGCTGACCTGTTCTCAGCTTAGGCACTGGCAGTGAATGACAGAGGGCACCGATCTAAGGGCAAACCGAGTAACTCTCTGAAGACCCCCACCTCGTCCTAATCTCACGGAACTTCCTGAATGCAAATACCATTTAATATCAAAGCTACCTGGGTTTTGTTTTTATAGAAATATCATAATCACTGTCCTTTAAGAAAAAGAAACAGAACAAAACAACCCTAAAGAGATTGGTGGAAGTCTTCAAATATCAGTGACAAACCCTTGTTGTCATGGCCTATTTTCAGCAGTGTTCAGAAGGTATATTTCTATGGATTCAATTACACTGAAATAACTGGTTGAGGAAATTGTAATCACATAGAAAAAGATGAATGCATGTGTTCCTGTGTGTGCATACAATACCCACAAGGCTTATGAAATCCATTCACAACAGAGGAAATACTTGAAACATATTTTAAGAGGCTCTGTCAGCAGTCTCATAGCAAGGCTTTCACATTTGTAAGTCACAAGGAAAAAAAGCTGTTTTCTGTTCATGCTGTATGAACAGATTTTGTTTGGTCTACAGCTTATATTTAAGTTGCAAGTAAATAAATCTTCCTGGCTGAATTAGCTGACAAACCACATCCACGGTATTGAGAATAAGTATTTGATTGGGACTGAATTAACTCTTTGCAGATTTGTGCTCATGTTTACACATACTAGAGCTGCATGTATTAAAAAATAGGATATGCAGGATATTAATCAAATTGTAGTCAAATATGTTTACCTGAAAAAAAAATAAAAAAGAAAAGGATGCAAAAAGAAAAAAAAAGTGCAAGCCAGTCTTTCTCTTCCTCCCATTTTGCTTTCAGAATTAGTTAACATGATGACATGTTGTCACTTGTTCAAAACCAGATTGGACAGGAGGATAGAGGACAGTGAATCCTAACAAGCTGAAATGTAAATTAAGATATCTTCCTGTCTTTACACATGCAATTTTGTGCCTCTCCGGGAAACTGGTACATGATAACAACTTGAGCTTTATATGAAGCTTCTACCTTATTTGCAGTCTTAGAGAATACAATAGCACCGAGACTAGATTGTTACTAAAGAAAGAGGTGACTAAGAGCTGGAAATCAACACGCTAATCATAACAAAGACGTTGTCATTTTACAACGAGTGATTTTGCATCAATAAAACCCTGTGGGGACTGTATCAACAAATGACTGTTTGGCATCACATCATGCCTAAGCTGAACTGAAGAGGATACTTCCAAAACTAAAGCACACACTTTAAGGAAGAAAAATCCCAAACATGTCATACCATGAAACTGTAGCAAATATTTCCACAAGTCCCTCCAGCTGCATTCTCCTCCCTTCCTTAAGCTGTCAGGAACTATTTCCCAAAGCTCCCAGAGACTGTGATTATTAAACTAAACACCACACACTAGAGTGCAAGCTGGATCGTGCTCTCCATACTCCTATTTTAAAGGATGGCAGTGGGAACATTAACTATTCCATCCTCAGTGGTATACAAATACGTTTATCTTTCTGTCACACAGAAATAGTGGAAAGCCCATTCCTTTTGTCATTCTGCTTTCATGTTTCTATCTGTGAAAAATAAGGAATTAAGAAGGATTTATCTTTGCTGCAGGTCCTATTAACTGTTCACCCTGTCATCTATAGCATGATCTATTTATATAACATTTTGTGAAACTGTATGGAACAATCTTTTCCGACAAGCAGCGGGTGAATCAGTGACCTGCTGCTTCTTGTTACCCCACGTTTAGGGCAATTAGAGGTGTTGGCTGAGTGGCTGAAATAAGCCATCCTCTGCACAAGGAGCATATCAGAAAAAAATTTTGAAGGGAACCCAAAAGTTACATTATTATAATATTATTATATACTATATAATAATGCATATTTTATATATAATACACATTATTATTATTATTGTTGTTGCTGTTGTTATTATATTTCAGACAATCAGAAACATGGTACACTTGTAGGCTTAGCCTTGAGCAGTTTGGCACAACATATGCTTTTTACTGTACTGCAAGATTTGGCTCAACTATGAGTAATCTGTAGTTCAGCGTACAGAAGTGATTTAAAATAAATTCCTAGAAACATGAGCATTCAATATCGGAAATATCTTGTTAAAATGCTAACATAGATAAAATACTAAACAGTTTTAAATGAAATATTAATACCTTTCAAAACAATGAAGTACCTAATCAGTGCTTACAATTAGGAAATTTTACAATTGGAATTCTATTTATAAAATAGTTTATTTAGAGTTTGCAGTTACTTTCTGCATTTACAGACTTTCAGAAAAACCCCTAACAGAACTGCAAGTTTCCAGAACAGCCTTTTTAAGTTGATCAGGGCATAGCAAACCTGATTCCACATAGGTTCAGTTCTGCTAACATCAAAAATGAATCACTGTGTTCATACGCTTAATCCCATGAGATCTAAAGTTATTCATGTCCTCCTTGGGGTTTGCAGGATTAGAATCTAAGTATGTCGTTTCCCCCCTCGCCCGTCCTGTCAGTAAACGTGGGATCAGAGCTCAGAACATGCCTGAATTTGTCCTTCTAATCTCTAGTAATCTTCTCAGTGACACAGTATCTGTTTCAGAACATTAGGAGGCCACATCTAAGAGGACCAGTTAGTGGAAACATTAAGTTACACCCATATTTATCAAAGTAGGCTCCATATGCTGCCATATGGTAAAACAGCATCTATTCACATACTCAAATAGCACTAAATATTAAGGGCAATATTACCTTAAAGTCATTAACTTCCTTCACTCACAAAGCCTATTTACAAACGGTGCAGGTTATGTAGCCCAGACGTGTTGCTAATTTAGCTTCTGACACAAAATTCAAGACAATTCACGACTCTGTAAAACACAACTAACACAGTGTTGTATACAAAGGAGGGTTTGTAGAAACTGCCATAGAGAGTTCTACAGTGCGAAAATTTATCTGGTGGATTCAACCTACAGAACTCCTTCCTGCAGTTTTAAAGGGTGAACAGAAAAGACAGTCATCCTTCAAAGTCACTTGTTTCACCAAGTAGCGCAGAGAGAAGGAAAACAGTAAGACAGCACATTTTGAGACAGACACTTTACAAATGGCGTTCCCAGCTGGAAAAAACCCAAAACTCTCTCTATGAAAAGTTTGATCATCTGCAGTGACTGAAGCAGATATGAAAAAGATATTAAAAAGTTCAAGAAGGTGAAAAAATGTGTGAGGACCAAGACCTCACTCAAATATCAGTTATGAAAATATCTGTCCAAGACCCACCTTCAGCCCGGTATTTGCCCAGGTAATGTGTTCTCATTACATGTGTATTCAAATACCTGTTACTCTGCTGTCTGTAGTGCTACAAAGCCAGATCTAATTACAATTAAACAAAACAGAAAGACTACCATTGGCTTCAGTCCTTGTTGAAACTACGCTGAAGTTACATTACACATGCTAGAAAAATCTAGATTACATTCCTTCTAACTGCCTGGTTTTTGTTGTGGGTTTTTTGATTTGATTTGTTTTGTTTTTAATTTCCAGGGTTAATCGATTCACTAGCAGACACTTGATACTTCTAGAAAACAAATCTTTCATTTCCTCAGCTTTAATTAAAAAAATACAGAAGCCCCTGACCTTTCATGCAGTTGGCTCTGCTCTCAGGAGGTTAGCTGCCCATTCAACATCACAGGTTTCGATAAAAGAAATATTTCAGGAGTTTTCCAACATCTCTCCTCGTTAGTTGTCTGTTTGGCAATTATATCATACACTGCTTATACAGGCAGGGAATGCTGATGTTCAGTTTTGTAAAACTACAATCTTATTTTGGGGAATGTTCTTTAAAATTCAAAATAGGACAACAGTTGTTGACAGAGCTTAGCAGGCTGTTCAAGGAAATGTAGCATAGTAAAACTACGGTGCTTTTTAAATATTTATATCTTTTTAATCCTTGCAGCAGATAATCCTCTTTGCAGTAGGCAGGAATATGAATACCCTTGATTGTATCTAAGTCCTTGCCTTTCAAAATTAAGATTTGCAATTTTTTTCTGCCCTAAAATTTTACAAGTATTACTTGAAATTTTGCTTGGATCAATTTACCTTCCATAAGCAAAGCGCCTGTCTTTGTGGTGGTCCCCAAACGTATCCCACAGCCTGAGAGAAACACTCACTTCATCCACAACATCTCTTGAGCGTTCAAGGACCTAGAACAGA